AAAGTTGACCGCCGTACAAATTTTTAGGCTCAGAAGGGCTAGAACCCAGAGCCGTAAAGCCAGTTAAATAAAAATAAAAATTGACCGCCATACCTATGCTTTACGTAACATACATCCTTCTTTTACAAATGTAACCTTCGCAATGGCTCTGCAGCTCTGTGTCATCATTCATCAATCAGTAAAGAAGGGTTTAGAATAGTTTTTTTTTTTAGTAATAAACGTGCGGTCATAAAAATACAAAGGATTTAGTACTAGTGATCCGCCACGGCTTTGCACGCACGGGTGATTTCTGGATCTCGACAATAGCGCCATATACCGGTCCAATCAAGTTGTTAAACCATCTAAGGACCCACTCAAACATAAAAATTTTCATCAAAATCTTTTTTTTTTAAATTGAGATTTAGCGAGACTAACGGAGAGAACTTGAGTTTTATATATAGAATCTCTATACGTGTGTATACGGGGTTTTTATAGGTAATATTGCCGTTTGTTTGTATAAAATATTTAAATCTCTTTAAAACCCAAAGCACAGAGGTCTGTCTACGTCTGTTGACATATCGAAAAGTGCTGGCAACGGACTGGTTTTGGAGTCACGAGCATAGAGTGTAATATCATCTCTCGTCGGTTTATTGCGTAGTCAATTCTGAATTGAAGTTATTTGATCAGTTATATATATTTGCCGTTACTGATTGATTAGATACGGTTCCTTGATAGATGAGAAGAGTCATGGTTTTGTAACAAGAGGATACATATTCTTTCAATTGCTGATAAAAAAAAGCTTTAATTCCTTGTTAAATAATTCAGCGAATTAATTACGTATTAGAAAAATTATGGCCAAGTATAAAAACGTATATGTGTTTATCACTCATGAAGTCATGAATGTAAGAAAAATTATGCCATTTCTAAAAAAATACTTCTTAATTGCAGCTTATACACCTAATTCTTAGGCATTATCAAATATTAAAAAATTATACTTTTAAAAAATTTGTAAAACTATCTTCTGAAGTCGAAGACACTATGGAAAAACTAAATAGCTGATTTCAGAAGTCAAAAAATATTTTTGGTTATTTTAGTCTGCTTTTACCTTTTATCAAAAGGTTTTTTTTTTACTCTTTTTAGGGGACTAACGAATATCGCATGCATAAGGTAACAACTAAGATGTCGTTTAAATAGTTATTATTAGAAACTTGATTTGTAATATAACTATTTCAACCCTATTTTCCACTTTTAGGCGTGGACTTTTTTCAATTTGATATGACACCACCCCTGCAACATTACCTATTTAATAAATAATCATTAAAATTGTTTCCCCCATATATACCAAAAAGGGGATTTTTGCCATAGTAACCACGCTTAGTAAGCCATTGGGTAACCGCGGGTGTTTATTGTTAGTCTTAATTAGATTTGTTACCCTCTGTGGCCTCTTACGACGCCCACGGGATGATATGGGGTAGTGGATATTGTCACGCCGTCACTTCTCGGATTGTACGTACGTACAAAATAAGAACTTACAGTCGAATTGAGAACGTCCTCATGTTTTGAAATCTGCTAAAATATAAAAATACTTAGTATAACGTTACACATGAACAATTCTTACCTATAATACCTATCTTCATATAGTTTACAATGCAGGTTACGTAATCAATTATTAGGAATACTATTTCTCTAACACGCCAATTGAATATTTATTTACAGTGTTATTGACTGTCCTAAGTATGAGTTGATTATCTTTTATATGTATAATACAAGTTTAGCTCTCATTTGGCATAAATATGTTGTATTGGATACTTTCGACTGTTAAATCGTATTTATCACTGTTGTAAATTCACCTTTGTATCTATTAGTGACGATCTTTAATTGGCTTACTGTTGTTATTAATACTATCTATCCTAACTATGATAGCTGTTGGTCTTCCAAATAAAATAAAATAAAAATAAAAATAAAATTTTTTACATCCCCTTTACTTACATACACTGCTTCCATAGACCTCCGCTTTTGCTTAGGATTTGCTGGAGAGCGCTCTAATTAAGCAAATTGATGATAGCAGAACAAGCCCAATACATTACCCATATGTTGCCTAAATGATTTTTTGCGAAGGAAAATAGTCATCCAAAATTTTTGAAATGGTCATTCCATCCTATCTCGTTCTGTTAATATATTATAATTATGGTCGTAGAATTAAACGATTTACGTACGCCTAAATCCTAAATTTATAAGTTACAGCCTATATTCGACCCACTGCTGTGTACAGGCCTGTCATTTCTGATAGGGTTTTAGGGCAAGGAATTATCCGCCGCGTTGCCCCAATGCTTGCACGTCTTCGAAATATATTTTTTTCTCATTTCTCAGACAAGCTGGTTTCTTCACGACGTTTCCCTTCACCGCCGGACACGTTGCAAATCAACACTTAAAATTGCAATTAAAGATTCGAACCCAAGTTGCTCGCGTACTGTCAAATTTACAGCGAGCGCTAACCATCTGAGCTACCACGACTATGCATGAATATGCTTTCCTAAATTTATATTACGATAAAAAGATGAGTCAGTTCTGATGACTATGTATTTTTGTCTGCGCGTAATTTTATAATAATTTTGTTACCCCTACAGTAGGTACGCACTGTACATACCACAGTAAAATACTCAAGTTAATAGCTTCGACTTCGAATTCATAATTTGAAGCCGCGTTTAATATATATAAAATTTCATCTAAAAAAGCTATATATTAACAAAACATCCTCGAAGAACCGATAACCGATGGGGAAGAAAGGTTCTCGAGTGGCAGACTCGTACCGGTAGGCGTAGTGTAGGGCGACCCCCCACTAGATGGAGTGACGACCTGGTAAGACATGCAGGAAGTCGATGGATGCAGGTGGCTCAGGACCGTGCTTTGTGGCATTACTTGGGGGAGGCCTATGTTCAGCAGTGACTTGTGAAGGGCTGTAATGATGATGATGATGATGATTAACAAAATAATTGAGCAGATTTTTCAATTGTCAGATAAAAACTGTCCATCGAATAAATTATAAACAGGCTGAATATAAAAGTATAAAAATGTAACTATTATATTCATACAACTGTAATTTTTAATATTTTTTTTTCTGAGGATTAAAAAACCGGCCCTAAAACACTAAAAAGGTTTTAATATTAATATGTTTTTTTTTAAATAAATAGTTTAATTTGAAACAGTTTTCAGAATTATAATATTTTTTTAGAAAATATAGATTAATATTTAAAAAAGGAAAGTTTATTCGAAAAAATATGTATTTCGGAACTTGTTTTTTTTTTTTAAATTTCTTGTCATACTGTAGTTTAGATGTTATTAGATAAATGAAAACCAGTTGGTTCGTCTTGGTTAGATCAGAATAGCATCACTATAATGTAGTGACTACACTTCCGATTACATCGATATATTTTGTTGGTGATGAGGAACACCGAATAACTGACTACGAAACATTCTATCTCAGTCTTCCAGGTTGACAACGTATTTTGGATGTAGGATGATGGTCATTTTATACGATCATTTTTAAACCGTCAAGTTGTTACTGTTGTTGACCAAACTATTTTTCTTGTTATTATTGTCAAATAAGTAAGACCGAAAAAAGTTAACACGTGAATGAATAATTATCTTAAATAAAGAAAATTTATCGTGAACGATTACGAAGACTAAATTAACTATAAATATTAATTTCGTGATTTTTTCTTTTACAAAATCTCCATACGTCGTCGATAACACTAAAACACTGGTTAACTATATGGTTTACATTGCATTAATAGAATGACTTATGGATTTGGTCTTATGGTCCTTCACTGCTGGCCGTATGAGGAAGCTCAAGTGCGCTCAGCGAACTATAGAGTGGGCTCGGGGTTACTGTACGTAATAAACTTAGAATTGAATATATTCACAGTAGAACCAGAGTAACCGAAATAGTCCAACGGACTAGTAAGTTGAAATATGTATATATATGTAGACAATGGGTCATGGTCATATAGCTCGTAGAATCCACAACCGATGGGCAAAAAAGGATCTTGAGTGGCAGCATCCTACCGGTAGGCGAAGTATAGTGCGTCCCCCCACTAGATGTAATTACGACATGCAGGAAGTCAATGGATGCAGGTGCTTCAGGACCGTGCTTTGTGGTATTATTTGGATAAGGCCTATGTTCAGCTGTGAACTTGTGAAGGGCTGTAATGATGATGATGATAAATATTAATAAACATGTATTAAAAAGTGAACTATTTTTGATATTTAACTATATACCTTTATCCTAATCTCATACTTTTAGGTTTTTTTTTATATAATAAAAGGTTTCTCCCACTAGAATTTTCTTGCGTGCCGTGGATGTGCCGGAACAATTTTCATAATAGTTAAGTAGATTGTGGTCCTGTCCTGTAGTAGAAAACTATATATATCGTACATAATTTCTGTAAAGTTTTCGGTGGAACATGTATTAAGGCCGGATGTTTGATTTAATGAATAAATTTAATTCGGTTTAAGTCGGAAGTTTTTTATGTTGCGAATTTTATTATCTGAATTCAGGTATTATAGGTAATAAAGTGGGTGTACTGTACGAACGTTTTCTACATGTTTCGTATTCGTCATTAGGAGCGTTTTCTAATACACTGCCGCTTGGATATTTTCCAGAATGTCCAAATCATCGTACATATATACGAACCTTGAATGTTTGCTTATACACGCTGGACAGGCGAGCTAGTGTGTGCAGCGCCGATAACATCTCAGTGGGAATGGTGCTTACCATCACCAATCTATCCATATATTCGTATGTCCGTCACCTGAAATTCGTTGGTCAGCAGGCTTGTGGCGGTTCATACAGCAAATAATTTGTGGATGTAATAGTTTTAAGTACTTATAAAAAGAGAGCATATAAATCTTTGTCCTAAAATAATTGTATGGCGAGTTTAACCGGTGTCGTCATCGTTCGGCAGGTGGGGACGATGAGGGAACAGGAAGGCGACGGCCCGGAGAGCCGTTAGCCGGACTCGATGGATGAGTATGGCGGGCCGGCGGCGCCGCCCCGGCCGCCCAAGCCGGCGGCGCGCGTGCACCGCGGCGGCAGCGCTGCGGGTGCGGCGGGCGCGCGGCCGCACGTGTCGCTGCTGCGGCCGCGCCCCGAGGCCGAGCGCGAGCGCAACGCCTACGTGGAGGCGCCGTGCCGCGCGCCGCCGGCCGCACACGCCGCACACGCTCGCGCCGCGCGCCCTCTCAAGCCGGTGACCACGCAGCCGGCCGCGGCCGACAAGCGGCGCCCGCTCGCCGCCGACTCCATAGTGTGTGACGCGTGCGGGCGCTGCCGCTGCGACCAGTGCGCGCGCCCGCGCCCGCTGCCCTCGCGCTGGCTGTGCGGCTCGTGTCTCTGCAGCGCCGAGGCGTGCGTGGATTACGCGTCGTGCATGTGCTGTGTCAAGGCGCTCTTCTACCCCTGCGGGAGCGGCGAGGAGGAGGCGGCGGAGCCGTGCACGTGCGGGCCGCGGCTGTGGTGCGTGGGCGCGCTGGCGCTGCCGCTGCCCTGCCTGTGCCTGTACTGGCCGCTGCGCGCGTGCGCGGCGGCGGGCGCGGCGGCATACGCGAGCGCTTCCCGCTCCGGCTGCCGCTGCTCCGCGCCCGCGCCCGCGCCCGCGTCCGCGTCCGCGCCGCTCTCCAGTATTATCTAGTCCGCCGCCGCCGCGCCCGCGCACTCCGAAGCCCGCCGCCGCGACCGCGCTGTACAAATATTTATTGGCGCGCGCCGCTTCGGACGGCGCGGGGGGCGCGGGGGGCGCGAGGTGCGCCGTAGTGCAGTCTGTGCAGTGCTGTGTCGGCGCCGGCCGGGGCTGGACCGCGCCCCGCGCCGCTGAGTGTTCGTCTGCTACCTGTAAATATAGCCGTTATAGTGTGAATGTACGTGAACGTGTCGCCGAACGCCGCGAGTCTCAAATTTTCTTGAGACCGAAACGTGTCATATAACGCTAACATTAGTATTTTGGATTCAGTGCGAATCCGGATATGATTAAGAGATGAGATATAAATCATACTTATTAAGATGTAGATAATTTACCATTTATTTATTAACTGAATTTGTATTTATTTGTAAATAAAACGACAACATTATATTATAAATACGAATGTTTACTACATTTTGTTTGTTTTTCTACTTTCCCACCTTGCCTTCATTAAAGGAAAGTTCACGAGTGATGCCGCCGGCCGGAGCTATGGCCGTCCGGTTCCTTGCACCTTTAAGTAATCAATTCATGATGCAAATACATCTGACACTTGAGCATAATATAAAACGAAATGAATAATTAATGTCTGAACATTTCACCGAACTCTACCAATCACACAAGTTGCGTTCAAGAAGAGCATTCTCTTATTACGTTACTCCGTTGGCATTGTATTATCGCGAGAGCGGAGATAACGCAATCGCTCGTATAATCTTCGCTTATTAAAGTGACCTTTGCTTTTTCAACATCTGAGTGTATTTAGTGTTTATGTAACGGTCTGGAATCCGAAATTAAACCACTAGTTTTATATTATCATGTTTTTTTACCTCGTGTAGTAACAATTTAAGTCGTTCGGTGTATAAATATTATGTCACGGCTAAAAGCCGAAGTGCGGTTACACGTAGTTTTAGACAGTTACAACTGGATGCAGCATATTGCGTTTTTTTATATGAGATGTAAACGAGCATGCGGCTTATCTGATGACAAGTGACTACCGCCGCCCATCAACAATATTATTATAGTAATATATTTATATATATTTAATATAGTAGTCTATTCCTCAAGGAAGTTGTGCGAGGAGGAAAACTAAATCTAAATCGCACAGTGGTGGACCGCCAATCACCCAAATGGTATGGGTGGTATCGCGAGTTTTGTCGCGATGTGCTATGGTGATATTGAGCGACTGGAATTAGGTTGGTTAAACTTATGTGTATTCAATTAATTTATGGTCTTAACTAGAACCCGGATGCTTACGGGCAAAACTAGGGTATGGTAAACTTCGAATTGTTATTGCCTATAAACTCAAAAATACGATCAACTATCAAGTTATATCAACGATAGTAGTCAATTAACTATGACTTCTGTTAAATTTGTCTAAAAGAAACTCATAGAGCAACATGGGCCACCGGTGGACTGGAGGGGTGTAGAGCCATACGCAGGCGTTCCCCTTTGTCAAAGTATAAGTCCACGCAATCCTATGCGTACAAACTAGTTGCAGTCGCATTGCTCACTAGACTAAAACTAGTTGCGCGGCTGAATCGACGTCCTACAAAAATACAAATTGTTCATTTTTTGCTGCAAAAAGAAATCTGCCACGTCAAATTTACAAAAAAAGGCGTTACCTTTAATTTATTAGTAATTTTAATCACATTGTTGTTATTTACTTCTTTATAAACTTAAAAATTACATTTATTGTACTTTTTAAGTTGTATTGTTTTAGATTTGTTTACCAACACAGTCCACTAACCCTTGTTAGATTATTATAGACAATAAGATGGGTAGACAATTAAATACTAGTTTGTAAGGTAGTTGATATATTTTATTAATAATATATAATTACTACACTTTAATAAATCTCACACCCTTATACAATATGCAGATCGGTCAAGCGACTGATCTGAGTCTGAATCCGAGTTGTCGCGGTCACCGAGCTTATACTATTATAATGTGTGTGTGTGTTATTATTATTTTAATAGTTATGTGTGAGCAGATCTCCCCCAGCAAAAATGACAGTTTTGTATTGGAAAAAAACTCTGTGGCTACTCACCTCCGGTCCGCCGGTGGCCCGTGTTGCTTTATAATTACAATAGGCGGGATTAATACCTTATGGCATTCTCTACCAGTCAACGCAGGGAGAATATCATTATTAGGAATGGGCTTAATATGGATTTCACCGAATACGAATATTCGGCCGAACATTATTCGGCAGGATTACCGAGGTACCTAAGCAATTTATGTCAAAACTTGTTACCGTAAAGCGCGCGGGATTACCGCCAGAGCCTTCCCCTCGCTCCCCCGCCACACCTGACATGTTATTGCATCATTTAGTACTGAGCAAATTGCCGGCACATGCTTATGTTTTGGCTATTTTTATGAGAAAAAAGTATTCTTAATAAAAATTGATAAGTATGTGGTGAAAATGAATGGCAGGAGATCTACTATTTGGACCAATTTTAGAGAAATTGACGACTGTAATGTAATGTTTCTTTGTTTGATTCCAAACAAAATTTTATCAAGCACTTTATTTGCTTTAATTGGAAATAAATGTACAGTGCCTCAAAAACTTAACGTTATACAAGTATATTTAACCCATAAATAAAATATACTTTCAACAGTAAAATTATGAAAGACATTGCATTACTCAATTCGTACATTTCCATACAGTGGATACTTTGAGTACCACTTTAACGAATATTCGGTAAAGCTGCCGAATACCGAATATAAAACGAATATTCGGCCCATCTCTAATCATTATATCAGCGTCAGTAGGTAAAGAAAGCTATAGCTGGGCTGACCCTAGAGACATTTATATTTTTTATTAATTATAATTAGGCTGTACTGTATGCTAAGGTACTAATTGAAAGAGTTATGAAAGAAACTGATGAAAAAATTTGGGATGTGCAAGCGGGATTTAGAAAGGGAATGGGGTGTACAGATCAAGTCTTTTCCATGCGCATGATCGCGGAGAAGTTTTTGGCGAAAAACCAAAAAGTTTTTTGTGCGTTCATGGACTTGGAAAAGGCTTACGACAGAGTGGACAGGGATGTGTTATGGCAAACGCTGAACGCATTGAGGTTGAGCGCTGGTTTGATACAGGCATTAAAGTCTCTGTATAGGGACTCGAGTGCTTGTGTTAGAATCAACGGGGTCTACTCGGACTGGTTTGGCATCCATAAAGGTGTCAGACAGGGCTGTGTAGCTTCCCCGTGGCTGTTCAACCTATTTATGGACAGCTGTTTGAAAAATTATAAAGTTGAAGAATGCGGGTTAAGAATGGGTGAGTTAACCATCAAATGCCTTTTGTACGCCGATGATCAAGTCATACTTGCGTCGTCGGCGGCCGAGTTGCAAATGATGGTTACATTAATGAACAGGTCATTAAAAGAAAGGGGAATGAAAGTGAACGCAAGTAAGACGAAAGTGATGGTTTTTGAAAGAGATAAAAGCAAAACGGTATGTGAAATAAGAATAGGAGAGTTAATTGAGCAAGTGGATAAGTTCGTATATTTGGGATGTGTATTCAGCAGGGATGGGAGATATGATAAGGACATTGCACGACGAGTGAATGCAGGAAATAAAGTAAATGGGGCTCTACACTCTATTGTGAAAAGTCAGAATGTGTCAAAAAAGGCACGTATGGCAATTCACAGTGCTGTATTAGTCCCTACTTTAACGTATGGTAGTGAAAGTTGGGTGTGGCAGAAGAAGCACGAGAGTAGAATAAATGCAGTAGAAATGCGGTCGCTAAGGAGTATGTTAGGGCTGAATCTGAGTGACAGGGTGAGAAACTGTGTGATAAAAGAAGAGTGAGGTTTGCAAAATGATGCGGGGACCAGGATTAAGAAAGGAATGCTTCGGTGGTTTGGTCATGTAGAAAGAATGAATGCGGAAAGACTGACAAAGCAAATATATGTTGCAGAAGTGAATGGAAGAGTCGGAAAGGGACGTCCTAGGCGGAAGTTTGTCGACCAAATTGGCGATATACTAAAAATGGGCCAAATTAAGAGTACCCTTAACCGACGAGCATGTATGCGTAGGTATATGGATGTGGAAGAGGCGAGAAAGGTATGTCAGGATCGTGCTAAATGGAAGTCTGTAGTCTCTGCCTACCCCTCTGGGTGACAGGCGTGAGTGTTTATGTATGTATGTATAATTAGGCTCAACCTAGGAGTGTTGTTTTCATTTGCGTTAAAATAAGCATTCTAAAAATGTAACGTTAACATAGCATTGAAGCAATTTATCTTAGAGTATTTATGAATATTGATTATCTACAAGTGGCAAAATTAAAAAATTTGTAAAACCGACTTCAATATAAATAAAACGAGTACATCATCAATTTATTCGAAGTCAAATACGCATTATTAAGGATAATTCACAAGCTACTGGTCAGATCTTGATCAAATTTGTATGGGATCATACGAGAAGCACCAGCTTTCAAATAAACAAAGAAGCATCAAAATCGGTTGACCTAGAAAAAAGTTCTGAGGTAACACATTAAAAAAAACACAGTTCAATTCCTTTTTGAAGTCGGTTAAACTTAGAGTAAACAATTAGAGAAAATATTAACTAATTCAATTTTTTTTATTTGGACTTAAGTGTACATAATATATAACAATTTTAATAGGCAAATCGCAGCTATTGACACACTTTTCGATCAATTTTCTGATGAAAAAGCTAGCAATCGGAGAATAATTAATCTTTTCTTGCTCTCCCGAAATTTAGAAAAAATTGAGGTTCGTCCCTTTGCGGCGTTAGCGACGAATTCGTAAGTAGCCACGGCATTTATTCATAAAGAGCAATGTTTAGGCAAATCTAGCTACGTAAAAGCAAACTATGACTTTTAGGTATCTCGTTACTATTCTTTTATACATTTTAATTTTCGTTGTATTGAAATATAACTATATTAGAGTTTAAAAAAAAACAATCGATATTATAACTATAAATATGACGAAAAACGATAGACAATAAACTAAACTTGACTAAATCATGCAGTCCTCGAATTAGTCGGACCAAGTGTTAACATTAGTACTAAACTAGATTGACCAATGTCTTTAGAAACGCAATGAAACTCTCTGACAAGTAGAGACTTCAACTCTTAACCACAAAAAAAAAATTAAAAAAAATCTTTAATATTTAATAACCGCCCGAAATTCTAGTTTCTCCATTTTGCATACGAACTGGTAGTTTTTCACTCACCGGCACTGCACCGTTACGGTGCCGGGGCTCCGTTTTTCTGGTGCCGGTGCCGATCTACGT